TTTTTTTTTTTTTTCTGGTTGCAACCATGTTTTCACATTCCCATACTGTCAAATCTCTTAAAAATCATAAATAATAAGAATAACATATTTTTAAAGAACTTATACTTCTAGATAACTTATTGAGGATTCTTTGTTTATTCTTCCTTTCCTTTTTTTATTTTATGTTCTTTGTATTTTCTTCTTACATTACATAATAAATATTACATAATATTTAAATGTTTTCTTTATGAAGAATTTTGAAGTGCTAAAATATCATGAAAATATAATAATTAAGCATATCATAATATTAATATAATAATAATTACATAATAATATTAACGTGTTACACAATAATAATAAAAATCTTTATTTTCCTTCTTTTTCTTAAGGGGGTGAACTATGATCCGGGCATTTTCTTGACATTTTCTAGGTTTTTTATAAGATTTACCTAAAGATTTCAGACTTTCTGCTCAAGTTTAATTCAATAATTCAGAAATAAACTCAAGATTCACTCTGCAAACTTTACTGGGAACATTATTGTTGATTTTCTCAAAAAGATTATTTTGAGTTAAGAGAACAGTAGAACAGAATGTGGGGGTTTTAGGTCGAATAAAACGAGAATATTCTAGAATATTCACATGTTCATGTTTCTGGAGCAAATGGAGAATAGAATCAGATTTCAGTGCTTTTCTCTTCGTTGTAATAAAACATGGGTTTTACCATGCTGCTTTACAAAATTTGAAGGCTATGTAAAGTTTTATTTTTTCTGCAAACACACACCGACACACACTGGCGCGCGCACACACACACTCTCACACACACACACCGCCGTGTGAATGTCGCCGTGTTTCCTTCAAGTCAATCTCCATCAACACGCGTTTCTCCGTCGCTCGTTTTTCGCAAAATCTGCCAGATTTTCCTTCGCGACGCTGCAAAACAGCCGCACTTCGGGTTTCAACTGTGTTTACTGACAAATCGCGCCGCACTGGAACTATGAGCTTCAGCGGTCGGCGGGAGAGCGAGCGGCGGCTGCCCGGCTCAGGCGAGCCCTCCCCGGTGTGAGAGTCAAATCGAGGCCGCTGTCGCTGCGGCCTAGTGCGGGCGGTTTAATGTTTCACTCGACAACACAGAACAGCGCTCCGGTAATGTCGTAAAAACTCACGAAACATTAACACGATGACGAGAATGAGAGATTAACTCAATTTAGAGCGGGTTAATGCACTTTAAATGAGTTTAAGCGGATTGTTTATAGAAATGCATTGAAGTTTTGCATGCTTATTTATTCATCAGGTGTTATTTAGCACGCTTATAATGATCCCAGGAAGTTGTTTTAGTAGTGTAACTGAAGTGTTTTGTTTGTCTTCAAACAGGCTCCATCAGGAACAGCAATGGCTTCTTGTGATGACAGATTGACGTTGATTGACAGATGATGCTGGCGGTAAGGTTACCTGTGCAGGTGAGCGAGGCCCTCAGCATCACGGCGGGAGAATGAAGCTTCATTCGGACTCGTGCGAGGACGCACACGCATGTGAATCTGCATCACACGCCTCCCCGGACATGAACCCGAACCTCCGTTTGACCTTGACCTCCTGCAACGGTTCGACTGACCAATCAGGGCTGGAGAATCTCACGGCACACTTGGACGACGAGGACGATCTCATGCCCGAGATCCAGCAGGCCTTCAGAATATTTCAGAGCTTCCTCTCAGAGAAGCATAAGTGCATCACGGCCCCGTTCTGGCGTCCCGTGGGCCCAGGGGACCACGCCGGGATGTGCTTCAGAAAGATAGACGATAAGTTCGTGAATCGCGAGTACGAGTCCATCACGGCGTTCGTGTCAGATTTCAGACTGATGCTAGAGAACTGTTACCGCTTTCACGGCGTCGATCACTGGATCTCCAAACAGGCCCAGAAACTGGAGATCATTCTAGAGCAAAAGCTGACCTTGTTGTCCAGGTGAAAAGAAAAATCAATGGCGAGGAGTTTGAGATGAGACATTGCATGCAAAACCATTGGTTTTCATGCAATGGTCAATTTTGAGATTTTAGATTATTATTGATTTGTCATTGTTAGAAATAACAACGAGATAACATCAGAGCAGCCTACGACGTAAAAGTGCAATAAGAATCCATAAAGTGCAAGCCAAATTATTGTCATCTTTGGCTTTTCATAATGTGTTTTTTTTTCAGACTAGTGAAAAGAAGACATGCAAAATGCACTTAAGTTTTTATTTTATTGCACTTTATCTGAAACGGGTTTAACGGCATCTTGTTGATCATTTAGAGGCTTTGCGTATAAAATATGATGCATTAGGTTATATAGGGTTAGATATGTAAAAGAGACTTATGTTACTTTCAATAAAAAGTTAATGTGTTTTTAAACTCATTTTAGCTTTAAATTACAGAAAATGTTCATTTTGAGTTTAATAGGTTGCTCTACACTATCAGAGCTCTTATGAGCAGGGTTATTATTGTTAACTAAAACTAAAACCATGAATTCACATTTTTGATACTTGAAATAAAATATATAATAAATATAATCATTTTTCGTTTGGTTTAACTTGCACTAAAATAAAAATGTTCAAATTCAAGAAAAACTAATAAAAATGACAAAAACACGCAACAAAATAAAACAAAACTTTAACTAAAATAAAAAAATATTAATAAAATTATTTTAAAAATGACCGTAAATAAGCATAAATCCATCACGCGCCCCGAACACCGAACTTTACAGTTTTATTTCTCTCTATATTCTGAAGGTTTATTCATATTTCATTCACACTGATTTATACAACATTTTACTCTTAAGAAATGGTTCAAATGTTTGTTTTCCGTCTGTTGACAGTATTTTCTGATTTATAGAGTGATAAAAAGAGAAATCCAGAATCCCCTCTGGAAGAACCGTTAACTCTATTATCACAACAAAATCAAACAAGAGTTTTGAACATGGATTTATCCAATGCTCATATGTAAATGTATGTATATTAATGCATTTTTAATTAGATAATGCCTTCAAGAAAAACTAATAAAAATGACAAAAACACGCAACAAAATAACCAAAACTTTAACTAAAATAAAAAAATATTAATAAAATTATTTTTAAAATGACCGTAAATAAGCATAAATCCATCACGCGCCCCGAACACCGAACTTTACAGTTTTATTTCTCTCTATATTCTGAAGGTTTATTCATATTTCATTCACACTGATTTATACAACATTTTACTCTTAAGAAATGGTTCAAATGTTTGTTTTCCGTCTGTTGACAGTATTTTCTGATTTATAGAGTGATAAAAAGAGAAATCCAGAATCCCCTCTGGAAGAACCGTTAACTCTATTATCACAACAAAATCAAACAAGAGTTTTGAACATGGATTTATCCAATGCTCATATGTAAATGTATGTATATTAATGCATTTTTAATTAGATAATGCCTCGTTTTTGCATATTTAAACATAGCATTGTAAAACGTGTAATACAAAAAACTTTTGCAATTCGTAATGTTATCAATCAAATAGGGAAGTACATGGAATAAAAATAAAAAATTCTAAAAATTCTATTTAAAAAAAAAAAACAATAGCACAATGTAAACTCAGAATTCAGAGAAAAAAGTCAGAATTGTGATATACATAGACCCAGAATTGTAATGAAAAAAACTTAAAATTACTTTTTTTTTTTGTGGTGAAAATGGACTTTCATAGAAGTATGGTGATATTTAAATGTTAAATTAAAGCATTTCATTATGTTTTATTAATCTAGTTGACTGTATTAAAATTAGACTCACTCAAACAAGCAAAAACAATCAAAAAGAAGTTGATTGTGCCTGTGCTTCGCATCTGACCAAATCCTATAATATTCAGTCCAATCAACTTGAAGTATATTACTAGTACCTAGTTATTCTGGAATCATCAAACTGGGCTTTTTTCCTGTCCTGATGGCTCTGATTATCAGTGATTGTGTTGATTTCTGTGCTGATGGTCAGGTCGCTGCGGGAGAAAACCACGCTGGCTGTGACCTCCGGAGGCCGGTTTGGGACGGAGGATGAGAAAGCGGTGCTGGGCTCGTCATCCAGACGGAGGTCGGTGCCCCGGAGCATCATGGGAGGCGGCAGCGAGTCCATCATGGTGCAGGCGCTGAGACTGGAGGAGCTGCAGCGAGCCAAAGACGAGAAGAGGTCAGAACAACTCTATCCTCATCAACCTGCTACTCTTTTAGTTTTTCACAGATGCTGTTTTCCTTTTATTTTTTCTGGATTTAATGGTTGAAAGTAGGGTTGCAAAAAGGTGGAAAATTTCGGAAATATTCCAGAAATTTTGGAAACTTTCCAGGGATTTTTTTGGGAAATTTTCCACCCCTTTGCAAACCTAGTTGAAAGACATTTTAATCCTCAAAAGGCATGGCATTTTCTTTTATTTTTTTTTCTGGGTTCCATTTTAAATTTTAAACAATGGAATGAATAAAACTTCAACAATTTATTTTTGATTACAATTTTAACAATAACAGGGCCCTTTGAAATCCATATCATTTCCCCCCAAACTCCATTTACTTTTTCACAAATTTTTTTAATAAAATATTTTTTATTCTGTTTTAATAGTTTACATTTTTCTAATCAGAAAGCATATCTAACCAACTGAATTAATCAATCTTCAATTAAAATTAAAATGTAATAATTTAATACAATTTTACAGTAACAAACCCAATGATATAAGTTTTTTTTTTCCTTAGATGCTGCTTTATTTTGTTCCCAAATTCTGTGTTTCCCATATTAATTTTTTTCTGAATTCCATTTTAATGGTTTAATTCATTTTTAATCATCAAAAAGCATGTCTTATAAACTAAATGAATAAAACTTGAACAATTTAATTTTTATAAAAATTTTAACAATAGTGGGACCCTATTTTTTCTCCAAAATTCCATTTAATTTTATTCAAATTAATTATTTTCTGGATTCCGTTTTAATAGTTTAAATTTCAATAACCTGAAAGTATGTCTAAACAAGTGAATTAATAAAACTTCATAACAATGTTATATTTGATTAAAAATGTAACAATAACAAGGCCCTTTGAAATCAGTTTTAATTTTTCCCCAAATATTATATTTTCCAGTTTAATTGTTTCTGGATGTTGTGTTTTGTTATTTAACCCAAAACATTTTTTCTCAAAAACAGTGGTAATGAAAGGAATTCATAAAACTTTATCAGTCTTTTAAAATGTAATCAAAATATAACATTTCCATTATTACAAACATTGCATTATTTATTTATTTGGTAAAAAAAAAGTGCTGCACAACGGAGGTACACTGTATAAAATTACTGTAAAAAATATATATATATATTGATTGTGATATTCTGTAGAATAATTTTAAATAAATGTTGTAAAAAAATTAGATTTATTTGGTAAAAAAAAAGTGCTGCACAACGGAGGTACACTGTATAAAATTACTGTAAAAAATATATATATATATTGATTATGTGATATTCTGTAGAATAATTTTAAATAAATGTTGTAAAAAAATTATTATTATTACTTTCACTATACAATAGTATGTTTATATATTCCATAAAATAGACTAAACAATAATATATTTTAGTGATACATTTTTGTCATAATTTCTACATTAGTAGTGAAGAGCTTTAAGTTTCTGTGCATTCTGTGTTTTCTTTATCACACCTGAATCTCTTAAAGGAGTAGTTCACTTCCAGAACAAAAATGTACAGATAATGTACTCACCCCCTTGTCATCCAAGATGTTCATGTTTTTCTTTCTTCAGTCGTAAAGAAATTATGTTTTTTTGAGGAAAACATTTCAGGATTTCTCTCCATATAATGGACTTCTATGGTGCCCCTGAGTTTAAACTTCCAAAATGCAGTTTAAATGCAGCTTTAAAGTGCTCTAAATGATCCCAGCTGAGGAAGAAGGGTCTTATCTAGCGAAACGATCGGTTACTTTCTAAAGAAATGTACAATTTATATACATTTTAACCTCAAACGCTTCTCTTGTCTAGCTCTGCCTGAACTGAACTGAACTGTGTATTCCGGTTCATGACCGTTAGGGTATGTCTAAAAACTCCCGTCTCATTTTCTCCTCCAACTTCAAAATTGTCCTAAATCGTCCTACATCGCTGTTTTACCGTTTTTTTTGTAAAGGGCAGTTGACCTTCTTTGCATGTTCACTTTTAAACACTGGGTCTGTGCTTCTGCAGCAATGTAGGACGATTTTGAAGTTGGAGGAGAAAATGAGACGGGAGTTTTTAGACATACCCTAACTGTCATGAACCGGAATACACAGTACAGTTCAGTTCAGGCAGAGCTAGACAAGACAAGCGTTTGAGGTTAAAAAGTATATAAATTTTACATTTCTTTAGAAAGTAACCGATCGTTTCGCTAGATAAGACCCTTCTTCCTCGGCTGGGATCGTTTAGAG